CCTGATGTTTTCATCTGTCCCTCCAGCGGTGCGGCGGGTGTCCGATCCAGCGCTGACTCCTCTGTCATTGCTGGCACTTCCTGTCCCACGGTGTCTGCATGCAGGTGCATGCGTCCATAGACTTACCTTGCGTCTGTCCTCGTCTCCCGCCCGAAAATCCGAACTGCGCATGTGCCCGCTCCAAGATGCTTTGTGGCCGCCCGAGCAGTTTCGGGTTTTCGGGCAGGAGCGCACGGCGAAGACGGGGTAAGTTTAAAGCGTTTTGTTTTTTTTAAACTGTTTGCATATATCTACTGCTTGCTAGCCTTATATATATGCAAAAAAAACGGAGGGTTTAATAACCCTTTTAATACTCACTCACCTGATCACTGGAACGACCAACAATCCCGGTGCGCCTGCACCGGCCGTAGTTCCGCCAGTGGCACAGCCGTACATACATTCCTCATATTCACCAATCTGTGGGTTTGGTCTTTAGAAGGAGATCCCTACACTGGACTTTTACAGCCTTTCTGGAACATCATCTTCCTCCCCTAGACCGGTTGACGGTGAGCATATTGCTAATTACACTGCTTCCTCAGGTATGCCGGCCCTCTCGCAAGAGGTGAGGGAGGCTTTAGACTTGCCCATCTCCTTGGAATAGTTTACTGGAGCATTACAGGCTACTAAAACAGGGAAAGCTCCAGGTACAGATGGATTTATTTTACCGTAATACAAGTTGGTTCAGGAGCAAGTGGCGCCCCGTACTTTTGTGTCTGCTTATAACTCCTGTGCCTGTATTATCCAAAGAGGGAAAGGATCTTAATGTATGTTCAAGTCGCAGATTCTCTTTTAAATCTGGACCTAAAGTTGTTCTCAAAGATATTAGTAACCAGGCTAGCTCCACGCCTCGTTTGTCCTGATCAGGCAGGTTTTGTAATGTCTAGTGAAGCTTGACACGACTAGCGCATTGGATGGTACATTCGGGGGCCTTCAAGTGCATTCTGCTCAACTACTTACCTGTTTTTTTTTCTTCACACCATGTTCTCGCTCTTTATTCCAATCCTAGGCCGAGGGCCAACGGAAACCTGTGAGTTTTTTGCAGTGAACAATGGCACCCGCCAAGGGTGTCCTTTATCGCCCTTGTTTTTCATATTGACCCTTGTTTACGTACGGTTAGGGCTAATCTGAATATTAAGGGATTAGTGGAAAGTTCTTCGGTCCATTAAAATAGCGGGTTATGCACATTTGCTCTTTTTCATTTCTGACCCCCTCCTTTCCCTTCCAAACTTGATATCCGAATTCACATTGTTTTCACAATTTTAAAAAACCCAAAACTTCCCCACATCTGAAGCTTTGAATGTGATGTCACCTAAGCAAGAGAGGATGAGACTGGTGGAGGCACTCCCATTTCAGTGGGCTTGCAAAGCACTTGGGTATGTGGGAACATTTCTCCCAGGTGATCCTTCACAGGCATATCTTTTGAAATTACCCCTGCTTTAGAAGAAAATACAAAGATTTGCAACATTGGGATACTGGTCCTTTTTTAAAATGATGGTGCTCCTGAAGATTTTAAACTTGCCCCAGACATGCATAGTCTTTCCCCCTCCTTTTTTGCGCAAACTTGTTCACTCTTTTTGAACTTTATTTGGCATGTATTTTTTCTTGTTTCGCTGGTCCTTTTTCTTGTTTGGCTGGTCCTTTTTCTTGTTTGGCTGGTCCTTTTTCTTGTTTGGCTTTTTCGCTGGTCCTTTTTCTCGTTTCGCTGGTCCTTTTTCTCGTTTCGCTGGTCCTTTTTCTCGTTTCGCTGGTCCTTTTTCTCGTTTCGCTGGTCCTTTTTCTCGTTTCGCTGGTCCTTTTTCTCGTTTCGCTGGTCCTTTTTCTCGTTTCGCTGGTCCTTTTTCTCGTTTCGCTGGTCCTTTTTCTCGTTTCGCTGGTCCTTTTTTCTCGTTTCGCTGGTCCTTTTTCTCGTTTCGCTGGTCCTTTGTCGGATGACCATCAAAACATCTTCAAGAAAAATACAGCAAGTCCAGTTGTTTTGATGTATTTTTTTTATAGATACCCCGCAAGTCTTTGTATTTACGCATCTAATGCACGTAAAAATGTGCATAACGTGCAAATAACGCGAGGGGAAAAATGTGCGTAAAAACACTGATGCATTGGTGTGAATGGAGACTAAATGTAGAGCAGGGGAGCCGTTCTGTTCTGTACAGCCGCCCTGATCACATGTATATAGTTGAACCAGTGATCTATAAAGTGGCACAATTATGGACTTGTCCCATGTTATGGACTTGTTCCTGCAAAACATTCCCCTCTTAATACAGGAAAGGACTCTGCTTGCTTTGTGTACTGCAGCCTGACTGCGAGCTATTATTCAGCCTATGGTCTACAATGACCCCCAAGTCTGTTTCCCTTTCGGACTTCCCCAGAGGAACTCCCATTATTAGTGTGTAATTCACTTTCTTATTTTTAACCCCAAAGTGCACAACTTTACATTTATCTACACTAAACCTCATCTGCCATGTAGTTGCCCACACCCCTATTTTATCCAGATCCTCCTGCAGTCTTGTAGTGTCGGATTCAGTGTCAATTCCCCTCCCGATTTTGGTATCAAACACTGAAACATGGCTGTTTAACCTATTAATATTGGGGAGGGGGTAAACCGCATGGGGCCCAGCACAGACCCCTGCTGCACGTCGCTCATGACCCTAGCCCAATCCGAGAAGGTGCCATTTATCGATACTCTTTGCACCCGTTCCTGTAGTCAGTTTTCTATCCATGTACACATTAGTTAGACCTCCTTTTGTGTTGTAAACGTGTATGTGGTAAAGTGTCAAATGCTTTAGCAAAGTCCAAGTATACCACATCCACCGGCCTCCCTCCATCCAGATCTCTACTTACCCCTTCGTAAAAAGTTAGCATGTTAGTCTGACAGGAACAGTCTTTCCTAAATTCATGCTGGTTGTCCTTTACTATGTCGTTATCCCGAACAAATTCTACTAAGTGGTCCTTTAATAATGCCTTCTAACACTTTACAAACCACCGATGTAAGGCTAACCGGTCTGTAGTTCACCGGATGGCATCTGGACCCTTTTTTGAATATTGGAACTAGCCCCCATTCCACTGTGTGACATATTGTGGTAGCCGGGAAGCAGCACTATCTATGTGCATTAAAGGGTAAGTTCACTTTCCCAAGTAATTTGGGAAAATGTAATTGCCTGCTCAAATCCGGCCCCTTCTCACTCCCCCGCTTGTCTTTCGCAAATGGTCCTTCTCTGCCGCTACAAGTTTACCATCTGTACACTATATTGACTTCCAGAGCAGCCCTTTGCTATGGATTTTGAATTTTGCTCACAAAATGTGAGTACTCGTTGGTCACTTGGCCGAGCTGACAATGAAAAACGCTGCTTAGCACTTTTAAAGATTGGTTTTGGTTAAAATGATTTTTTTGTATCGGGACAAGTAGACCTGTCATGACGAACAAAAAGATTGGGCCCCCACTTTAGTCCTTTTGGACGAGTAGTTTGTTTTTTAATTTCCACACAATGGAACAATGTATAGGGTAACAATGTTGTCTGTCTCCCAATTGCTTTCTTGCTTTGTCACCCTGTCACATACGCTCCCATTAGGGACTAGACCTGCCCTAAAAAATGCCATGGAGCCATCGCTGGAGCGAGTACTTGTAGTTTTTGATGAAAACAAGTAGGGATGTTCAGATACCAGTGCCGATACTTGGCATTTTCACGAACTGCCAGGGTTGCGACTGGGCCCTGGCGCTCCACCATTGTCTAAAATAAATATATACATCTCAAACCATACATTTAAAACAGATGCACAAATTCCAGGAGCCCTGTAAGCTCCTTTTAAAAATGACAGCCGCCTCCTAACTTTTGAGTTTTTCACTAGTCTAGTCTTGGAGCTGGAAAAGTATTTGATTGTGTACTTGTGCCAAATATGGTACTTGGTATCTGAACATCCCTAAAAACAAGTATTTTATAAAAAAAAAAAAAAAAACTTGGAAATAGTTTCTGATGTACAGTGTAGTGCTTTAGGAAACTTAATGTAATTCAGTTATGGTTTACATGTACTTTTATTTAGGGATGCTAGTAGTAGCATCAGCCTAGTTATTCTATGTGTAGGCAAGGGTGTTCACACAAGAGACTTCTTTAGTTGGTGCAAAATACAGTAACCCAGTAACAACATTTTTAGTAGAAAGTCATGTGCTGAGCAGAAGAACTGATATTTATACTGTACAAGCATTGCTCTTATCACTTTTTAAACTAATGCCTAGCAAGCAAAATGTACATCACTGAAGGCCCATTCACATCATTGCAGTGCATTAGGTTGCCATTCAGATGTTACAGGTGTAGCACATGTTACTGTAGTGGAATAGTGTGAATGGGCCTTTAAACCTCCTGTTAGTTGCAGATTAATGGTTTGTTATACCTGGTCCACAAATTTAAAACCTTTTTATTTCATTTTTAAGAGCTTTTTTGGGACCAAAGGACATATTTCCATATGATGAAAATAAGGAGAAGTATGGCAAACCCAACAAACGAAAGGGATTCAATGAGGGTTTATGGGAGATTGATAATAATCCCAAAGTTAAGTTCTCAAATGCACAGGTAGGTGAAAATTTAGGCGCAAAGTATTTTTACTGTGTAGTTCATCTATGATGGAACTATTTCCCTCATTGTGTTCATTATTCATATGTTTCCTCCTAGGGTCATTGTGTATTTGGTTTGATAGTCTGATTTATGTGCCAAATTCACTACATTGTACAGAGTGATTAAAACATAGATTGTGATAGTTTAAAACATGTATAGGAAGTATTGTTTTAAAGAAAATAGTTTGTCCACTGTTGTGGTTAACCCACATGCACCAGAAAATATAACCGGTTAATGGCAATGTAGGCAAAGGAGGTTGACACTTTAACTTAAAAATACATTTAAATAGCAAGTCCAGGCAACAAATTGGGTCACTTAGGGTGATGTGTGTAGGTAGAAAAGAACACACAGTCAAAAAGAACACTTAACCTTAGCTGAGTTACTCTAGGCACATGCTTATTTGCAACCTCCTTTTTGTTGGTAATTGCATTAATTGTCTCCATGACTAGCACACACACACGTTGCAATACTAGTGTCCTGGTATGTATGCATGTGTGTGTATATGTGGGGGTGCACTGATGCCATTCTTTTGGTACTTGCTGGTACCGATGCATTGTGCCCCCGATTATCAAGAAGTCGGGTGGCAAATCATGACCCGTCCTATTTGCCATAACGATTGATGTTTCTGAAGATGGAGAATTACAATGCCATGACTCCAGAAAGGAAAAGTGAACGTATAATGCTATATGCCAATGACCTAATATGATTTCTTCAAAATTGAGGTCCCTCCTTAATTTCAGCCATTGACACTACAGAAGACTAATGAATTCCCAGCACTTCGAATTACCCGACAGTCTTCCTTCCCTTTTGAAAATGGTGTAATTTGATTACAAGAGGAATTATTAGTATTAGACTCCTATGGCCTTCATAGAAAATAGTACCTCCTCCATGCATAACATCAAAAACAGATTACCATACTTGTAATCTGTGATGTTATGCATCCTGTATGTATTGCCACTATATGTGGCTGGTAGAATGAATTTAGTCAAAATTATCATTCTACCTACATACCTCTACATACTTGTCCATATACCTGTGGTAGTTCCAAAATCCTTTTTTGCAGAAGTTAACTCTAGACCAGTGGTTCTCAACCTTTCTAGGGCCGGGACCCCTTGGTAACATTTGCCAAGTTGTGGTGACCCCCCAACGGTAAAATTTAGGGTTGACTGCAGCGACATCTGGCGGCGTGGCGGGAGAACTGACACTGCTGCGCTAGGAGAGGGCTGAGGAGGACTCTCACCTAGCACAGCAGAAATCACACAGCGACCCACAGGTTGAGAACCACTGCTGTAACAGCTAAAATGGCAAACCATATAACACAAGCCGACGGTGTCAGCTTTTATTATTAATAATAATAATAATAATGATGATAATCACTAGATGGCCCCCCTCTGCTGATTGACAGCAGCAGTGGGCGGGTGCAACAGCTAGTTTGCTATTGCAAAGTGAAATAGCCAATAGGAACGGAGCTATGCATTCCAATGCTGATTTTATTAATTTTTTTCTGACTTACGGCGGCCGGGGCTCCAATGTCAGAAATAAAAAATAAAAACCGATCGCAGCGAAAGGTTTACTCTGCTCTGCTCGATAGAGCAGAGTAAACCTTTCCGGGAGAAAGTGTTTTTCTCTCCTGGGCGGCCGGAAGCCGCTATCTAATAGTCGGCGACCACTGGCAAATTGTCATTCGACCCCCGAAGGGGTCCTGACCCACAGGTTGAGAACCGCTGCTCTAGGTTCTCTGCTTTTGTGTGGAGCACTACTAGACCAAAACTCAAATCGATCACTTTGTAGAGGCTCATGGAGGAAGTAGAAATGGCCTGTGTTTGTACTGTATAGCAGGGCAGCTTAAGTAACCCCTTGGGTTCTTCCGGACACTCTTGGTGCATGTGCTATGGGTACAATTGTTTCATTTTCCTAGGAGCCCATAAGCCTTTTCCTCATAAATTACAGTTACTAATTATAAATGTGGCTTCATCCGTGCAGTATGGAGTTCAAAGGGTATTTCTGCTTTTGCATTGAGTTTTGAGAAAAACCCTCTATACGCTTGTGTTCCCATTCGCACAGCATCCCAAAAATATGTTTTAACTATTTCTTACCTTTTTACATGTTTTGTTGCAGCAGACAAAATGGTTGCATCCAAGTTTTTTGGAGCACCTTCACAGGGACCTGTCCTTATAGATAGACCTAAGGACAGGAATGTGTGGGATATGTTTCGCTCACTAACATACAATGCACAAGCTAGAATTGCTCTCCTTTTTTATACTTTGTTAAGACAGGCAGTGTTCAAATCTACTTTACAAATTATATTGAATTCAACCAGCACAGTACAGACAGTTAACATAAACCCCGCACAGCCTCTCCTTACTTTGCTAAGGGCCGGTGCACACCTAGGGGATTTATCGCGCAAAACACAGATTCACATTGAAGTCAATGGAGGCTGCTCACACCTTTTGCGGTTTGTGAAAAGGTGCAGAAGCTATTTTCAGGCGGTTGTCGTGCGGTTTGGGTCCCATAGACTTTTCTCTATGCACTGAAAAACGCACGACAACCGCGCAGTTTACAATGAACAGTCGCGCAATCGAGAACAGCTCTGCATCTGAATCGCCTAGGTCTGAACCTAGCCTAAAGAGAAGAAGCCAACTAAAACTTTGAGCATGTAAAAAGCTATTTAAACGGCAAGAAGAATTTTTTTTTAACTTATGCGATGGGAATTCAAAAACCTAACAAATATATAAAATAGGTATCACAATTTTAGGCAGGAGAAGTGAACAATCTAGTCCAAAATAGCTGATTTGGAAAGTCTCCAGTTTAGCTCATTTTCCAGATAAGCTATTTTGGCCTAGATTGTTCACTTCTCCTGCCTTCACCAAACACTTAACCCTTTGGTGAATAGACCTGTCAGTGTTTGTATTTTAAATGGAGTGATTTGTTTGAATGATTAGACAATTGAACAAGCCGTGCACATCAGCCGTGACTGTTAGTTGGTTTAGTTGTCATGACCAAAACTCAACGATTTCCATTGCAACTTAATGTGCCTGTACACGCAAAATGGATATTTCCGTTTTGATTTAAATAAAATATACACACTCCTCTGTGTTTGTCCTTCACTTTTTAATTCCATTCTCTTAAAACTACATGCAGACACTGGAAGCTTTGAATTACCATTTAACCTCTATTGCGTCAGATTCTCTTTGACGCAATCTCAACAAATTTTTCAGTATCCAGCAGTCATTTGCGTTCGTATATTTTCTTACTTTTGTCTTTTTTTTTTCTCAGAATATGTTGTCACTTGCCAGTGCTGTTGAAGGGGATGATGAAGATGCACAGGAACATTTAGAAGAACATGAGGATCCTTCTCAGAAGAAACGCAAGATTGCGACATCAAAGGTAGGCCCAACTTGCGTCACATTGTAAAACAGTACAAGAGAATGTATGCCAATTGCATGATTGGCTATGACTGACTTTTATTCTTTCAATATCTGAACAGATGCAAATTGTAGAAGTTTGTGATTATCAGGATATTGGGTTTATTGATAACAACCTCCCCCTGTTTTGGTGGTGATCGTTGTTTGCGCCCTGGCTGGTAAAATTTCCCTTACTACTTTGCGCATTGAGATAAAAGGGAGTAAGGAAATCTTGCCACTGATAACAAACAAACAAAAACCTGACACTCTGACTTTTATGAGCGCTACGTGAGCAGTTGTATTGTGTGTACTTCTACTGCTAAACTGTCTAGTTTGCAGCAGTGTGGAAGTTGGATACCTTACTGTTTTGTCTGGCAGATTTCATAGATCACAAGGTTTTTTTCAACAGAATTGCAAATCCTTTTTTTCTCTTCTGCTCATTTTAGGACACGGCAAAGATCTCCAGATCTTGACCATTAGGTTATAGCGCTACTTTTATGAGTAGAACACTAGGCACAAACAAGCATAGCCTAGCGGCGGCTGCTGCTGGCGGCCAAACCCCCTTCTGCTAGAGGCAGCTGTCAAGGAGTAAGGACCCTAGCCTGTTTGTTTTTTTGTGCTTGGTGTCCTACTCCTGAAGGTGGCGCTATAACCCAATGATCTAGAGATATTTGCGTTGCCCTTAAATGAACGCAGAGAACAAGATTTTTTTGTTTTGCATTTGTCAAAGACCTTCACTGAGCAACGCAGATTTGGCTGAGGAAGCTGAACAGCTTTTTTCCTTTTGCTTGTAGGATTTTATGGCGAGTACCAAAAAAATCCTATGATGACTAGCAGTATTTTTTTGTGATGACATTTGGCCATTAAAATCTTTCTATAATCATGGTTAATCTTTGGCTCCCTTGTCTATATTAGACTGGAAACAAACATTCTGACTCCTCCAGTGGTCTCGAGTCACCAGAAAAAGATCTGAATACCTCAAAGGAGGACAACAGTGACCAACTTGGCAGTGAAGTGAGTTTTTTACCAAATGTAATATTGGCTATTGAATCTCTTGGGGGGAAAAAAAATACTTTAGATATTGTTTTTGTGTTGTCTCATTAACTTTGTTTAGTGATAATAAGAAAACCTATATCATTTTCACTTTGTACTCTTGTTTCCTGATTTTACTAGGCCTTTATGAGCATTTTCTCAAGTTAGGGGGACACGATGCTAAGTCAGGGTCTGATAGACATGCATTTCATTTCAGTCACTGTGTTCTAGTATTTCAAAAATGAAATATCACTAGGTCTGTAATCATCTTTCAGATTGCTATTTAGCACCACTGTGTTAATCACAAGTAATATGCATTGATGAGATGTAGTCACAACAAGATGTGATTAACTTAGGACTGCTTGGTAGGTATTCGCAAGATACACAGGGTTGTTTTACTAAAGGCAACTAGGCTGTTCACTTTGAAAGGGAATTTTCCCTTCGCTTAATGAATGAGGTGAAGCGCTGACTTCTATCAACCAACATCAGCCAAGCAAGAATATAGAATTTTTACCACATTCATTAATCTTAGGAAAAAATCCCTTTCAAAGTATACAGCCAACCTGCCTTTCATAAGTTAATCTCACTGTCTCCATTGACGGAGGTGTCATCTAGTTCTGTGAAAAGTATTTATTTTATTTTTTTTGTGTACGGTCAATGTAAATTTTGCTCTCTTCCAGGATGGCCCTACTAATTCACCCGTTAAAGGAAAGCGAGGCAGAAAGAAAAAGGTGAGAGAAAATTGAATTGCTGTATTTGAGTATTGCAGTCTATATTGTACTCCCACAATGATGTATTTATTCTGGAGGACTTTTCAAATTGAGGCACAGGTAATACAGAGTAGGACTTTAAAAGGACAGATTTATAATATGCAGAGGTCTAACTGATTATGAGGGAATATTTATATGCGGTCTGCATATGTTCAATGTGTGTGTGGTTATGTATAATAAATGTTTCCTATACTTGACTGTGAAACGTGTGCTTTGTGGTGACGGGGAGCAGCGTTACATTGACTATACCTCTGTACTAGACTCTAGTTCCTCTTTCAGGGATAACCACATAATTTTGCAGTTTGACCTTTGTGCCTACAGTGTACAGGTAGCTAGCGTCACCTGACAGGAGTTTTCTCCAATGACTGTTGGTCAGACTCATGAGTGTGGAGCTGTGAGCTTTAATGCCAGTGTCCAGTTCTTTTGGTTCTCCTTCCCTTACAGTATCTTGGCCTGTGTCTGGAGGTAGGAGGCATAACTTGTCAAGTTCAATACAGATAGCTGGTTTCTAGGCGATTGAGTTCTCGCTACTTCACTTGGCTTCTTTCTTTCTCCATACTGTCATGTGATGCTAGTCCCTTAGTGATAAAACCTAATTAACCTTACATCCCTATAAAGCAGGATAGTAAAATGAGGTTTATGTACTCTGGCACAGAGTACATCTCTTACAGGTATCTGTGTCTTTATAGTTGATGTTTATCCCATCTTGAAGGAATTTATTTACCCCTTCCTGCCCAACAATCCTTTTTTCATTGTGTTTATATGGGGGACACAGATCTGTACATGTCTTGACTCTTTTTCTTTCTTGGGTTCCATCCTGCCTCTTGCCTACCTGTTATTTTACTAATAATCGTTGGTCTGTTGTTTACATTTACCCTTGGCTGTGTCTCTGGTTGTTCTATTGGTATTGTTTGCACAAATAAAGTGCTACTGTTGCCTGGCTACTATATCTTTTCATATAGAAAGTTCATAACATTTGCTTTGAATATGGAGGGATTAGATAACCCTCTGGACAAGATATTCACAGCAATTGTTTGTGAAAATGGCAACATTTTTATGAATGGTAATCCACTGATTTTATTCTCATCCAGGTGGATATTTTGGCTGAGGCGGAGCGTAATGCAAATGCTGCAGCGATGGCTCAACTAAAGCCAAGTCCCAAGAGGGGCAGACCAGGTAAACTAATATTATAATTCATTAGAGAGATCTGACTGCATACCTCAAAGGGAATGGGGGCTAAAGAGTGTTCTGCCATTAGAACTTGTATCAGTACTGAACCTCTAATGCTTAGAAAAAAAATGGCAGTGCCAAGCAAATGCTATTGGCCATATAAAACATTATCATTCTTGCTCATATACACATTATATATTCCCTATAAACTACGCTTGTAATTGTCTATGTTTGTGTAATTTATACGAGCACAAACCTGGATAGTGTTATGTTGTTTTTCTTATTGGTATACCTGCCTAGGCTTATTCCACATTTCACCAAATGTACTCCTTGGTTGGTATATGTAAATATTTATACCAGCCTAGGAATTGATAAAAAATATAATTGGCTCGCTAAAAATTGCTTTTTCCTGGTTCTCATAGCAACAGGCTTTATGGACATGAGTAACTTTATGTTGAACACTCAGGTTTCAGTGCATATGATGCCAGATTAGCAGTCTGATATAGAACCGATCACACATGTTTAGGCAATGTGTCCTGAGCCTACTGCCATGACTTCCAAATTATGTATTGGCATAAATGCTTCCCTTTTGCACAGCCATTTTTACACAAATATCTTGGTTATCATATGCGTAAATTCATTGTAATAGGCATGGTTAATTTTTTTTATAGGTAATATGTTGTTGGGTTACTGCCAACAGAAGGATTGGACACTGGCAAGCAAAAAAAATTGTAGCCCAGCAGGCCCCATTTTTTTTTCTAATTTCATAGGAGGATGGATATATTTTCTTCAGCTCTGCTGAGAAAAGTCTAACTTTGTTTGCTTTTTCTTCCTTCAATCGAGATTCCTGCTACATTGCTGCCTCGGCTGGTCTCTACATGGCAGCTATCCAGATTGGCCATTCCTCAGTCTGATTTTTGAATGCCTTACCTAGATTCTGCTGGACTAGATGTTGCAGGGCTAGCCTGAAATGTGACCTTCAGCACTGGGTTCTGCTTGTGGCTCTCTTCAGACATTGTGTAAACATTTGCTATAGAGTGCTTTCCAGGTCCAGAGCTGTGGCATTGCTTCAGCGCTTGCCCTGTCACCCGAAGATTCATTTTGTGAGTAGACTGTTCTGTCAGGAACTACTTTGTTTATTGAACGGCTAAGCACTTTAAAATTTCCAGCTCCCAGTCTTTCACAGCAGAAGGTGTTAACACCGAGGCACAATCTTTTCTGCCACTCAGCATTTAGGAGGCACTAGCACACTGCTGCTTCTGCTTGCAAGAGCCACATGGGACTCTGATCCCTGAGTCGCTCCTACTGCCTGGCCGTCTGACCCTACACCTGCTTCCAAGCAGTTGGGTTTACTGCCTAATGCTTTCTCTTACCTTGGAATATTTTCACTTTCTGCCTTGCAATGCAAAATGGCTAATTCTAGATTCCAGGGTGGTTTGGGCCGGGGTTGGAACCCTGCAGTCCTGGGTACTTATAACAACTCTGGTGTTGCCTGAATCGTGCCTACAGATGTAACTGACAGTGGCAGCCTGAAACTTTGTCTTTTGCTATGGTCTATGCCGTCTTCAGAGTCCTCCCCAGCTCTGTTGTGCATGACCACCTACATGAGATCTACCAACGACAAAAAAAACCTACTTCGCTCTCTCTCTCTCCTGGCTGTCTCTCGCTCTCCTGGCTGTCCTTGCTCATCCTTCTGGCTGTGTCTCCTCTATCTCCTGGCTGTCTCTTCGCTCTCTTAGCTGTGCACTTGCACAGATTTCTAGATTTCTGGGAAAGTTTTTTTTTTTTTACCCTTTTAAGTGATTCTGGAACAGAATTGGCTGCACCAGTGATTATGTAGATGTTTTATATTAAAGGGAGTATACACTTATGCCCTCAGTCTTGTAAATCTCTTTGTCATATCTGTTTACACTGAAATTAAAAAATACATTTCTGTTGACTGGTGTAAAACATAAAATAAGATTACATTTACTGCGATTTCAGTGTTCTTTAAGAATAAAATGTGAAAACTTCCAAGGGGGTCAATGCATTTTATAGGCACTATAGATGTGTTACCATGGTGAGGTAATGAAGGAATTAAATACGGTTGTATTTTTCGGCTCCTGCTTTAGTATGTTGGTGTAGAAAATCAGTTTGGGTCTGCCATAAAAATCAGCTGAAACTAGATCCTTCATAAATGCAATACATTTAAAATGTCAGTGCTCATTTTGGCAAGTTTGCTGTGCATAACGCCACTTCAGAGATTTGACCTTACCTCCCGTCCTTTTGACTGTTTTCACTTGGACTGGCAGGCACAGGCAGTAATAATAACCGGACAGAGGTTCTAACCTTTGATTCATTACTGAAAAATGGTATTGCAGCCTGTGTCCCTGCTGGAGAGTTTCCTATCACTTTTTCTCCTAGCAGTATGTGAGAATAAATGTCCTCCTTTTGGGAACGGTCTGCACAACGAACACCTGACACAGGTTCTTCCCTTCTCCACTTTGTCCATAACTGACCATTTTGTGTGGTGTTTTTTTTTGTCAGCCTTGTCGCTTTAGGCATAACGCTAACTGCATCGAAAGTAATTGTTTATCTTAAAACTTAGCTTCCACAGAACCCAAAGTGCCTAAACCAAGGGGAAGACCAAGGCTAAAGCCACTACCTACTTCACCAGATCCGGAAATGTGAGTGTGTTCTGTATTTTTAGAAAGTGTGTGTACGTACATATGATCCAAGTTGCAGTCAATTAAAATGTACATTTGATATATTGCTTTATCTGCAAGTGTACTGGTATTTTAAGCCTGCTATAAATGTAAAACCTTACAGGTGTTTTTTTGGTTTTTTTTTAACCTTTTCATGAGCCATTTCTAAACGTAAGAGCCTATTAGCCCCTTGTTGCGGTAGACATTTACACACATTAAGTGCTTGGTGCACTGTGGTGCTGTTGATTTTGAATGGCACCTTTTACAAGCCACCGGTTTTATAGCAGCCCACAACGTGCATTGTGGTGTGCTGTGATGCAGAAAAATGCTGCAGGCAGGATTTAAGGTGCATTGGGCAGCCCATTCAAATAAATGGACTGCCTTAACACAACACACGTCAATGCATGTTTAATGCACCGCAATTGGTGTGACTGGGCCTTTAGAATTGGGGGTTTATATGGAAAACAGTTTAGCTGTGGGCACAGAGTATCGTGGAAAGTGTCCTAGGTTTCTGTTGAAGGATGTTGTAACACAGTAACAGTGCTACGGGGGGAAAAAACCTCAAAGCTTAAAGTAAGTTAAAGATTTTTATGCTTGGTAGCACTATGCTTAAAGCTGATCTCCAGGCACATATAAGACACCGATAACTACAGTTATGTATTGCGTAGTAAATCATCTAATGTATTGTTTAAATGTAACTATTGTAAGTACCTGTGTTAGACTTGATTTCAGCCATTTTTTTAGTCCCCTGTACAGCAGCACTAAAGGTGGCCATACACTGTACAACCATCGCAAGGGGCGGGCTTCCGATGACCGCAATGCTGAACGGGCAGTGTGCGTGTGCGCACACCGGCCCGTTCGGCATTTGTCTCCCGAGCACCGTTCAAACCAGCCGAAAATCGTACGATTCTCGGCTGGTTTTTGAGCATGCTCCTTAGACAAAAGACGTGCGACCGTACAGTAGGAACGGTCGCACGTCTTCGTTCACACTGCTCGATTCTAGGACAATCGCGGGATTTCCCGCGATTCTCGTACGAGAATCGAGCAGTGTATGGGCACCTTTAGATTTGGAAAGGGAGGGTCAGTACTGGGAACCAATCTTGTGATGTGCATGCCAATATGCTCAAAAGGAGTCTGTTGCTGGTCTCATTTTCAGGGCAGGGGTGCTGTAACAAGTCATAGCACACACAATGGATCTGCATGTGTTGTGGTGCACTGCGGTGGCCAAAAAAAATGTGCAGGTCCGCATACATGCACATATGTGTAAAAACCATAAGGCTGAATGAATGGAAATACAGATCCTTTGGGTGATAACACTGCTCCCTTATATTTATTTTAACACTGAATTTAGATGTTTTCCTAGTGTTCAGGTTTATGTGCAGTGTGCTACAAACTTTATAATCTTGAATTTCTATTTTGTTTTCTACTGTACTTTTTTGATTGCAGAACTGAAGATGATCAAATCAAGAAGAAAGCTCTAGAAAAATCACCAAAACAGACAGTTTCTAGAAAGGAGGAGGAAGGAACAAAGGAAAATGATGATAAACCGCAAAAAGAGGCAAGCAAAAAAGATGTTCCTGAAGCTAAAAAAAAGGTTGCTGGAAAAGTGGATTCGGGTTCCCATTCAGAATCTGAAGATCAGGAAGAGGGAAAGGTAAGAATTCAAAAACATAGATAATCTGTTAGGCAGATTTATTTTGAAGGCTGTTGCCACATTAATGTTTTTTGTACATTTATACACTACTAGGAATACATAGTCACTAATACTGGTACGGTTATTGGTGCCAATACTGAGCATGTGGGCAAGTACTGGTGGGGTGTGTGCTGGTACTTTTAGTTTGTTAAAGAAGTCTGGTAAAGAAAGCTGCTAATGTGGTAGCATGTTGTTTGGTAAGCCTGATGAAGTGGGCTTTATGAAAGTATCAGTATTCACACCACTCTGCTGCGGTGGCACATTTTGTGAATTACACATCGCACCTCTATCGCAGTAAACCTTAAGGCACTACCCTAAAATGAATGGGCCAGCTCAATGTGCGTGCTTTAAATGCTCAGCAACAAACCGCAGTGGTGTGAATGGGTACAGTCTTTTTTTTTTTAAGTTACTGATTAGCAGTGCTGTCCTGGAAGATTCCTGGAAACAGAGTTATCAGGTAATCAACTCATGTTTTTTTTTTCCTCATTGCTTATTTTGAATTTTACTCCAGCAGAAAGGCAAGGTTGGCAGGCCGCCTCAAGCTGCTGTAAAACGTGGTGCAAAACCTGTGCAAGACAAGGAAGTTGCAGATAAAAGAAGAAAACTTGATGATGCTGCAGAAACAGAAAGGTGAAACTTGGATTACTATTTTGAGGCTTTCTTTTGCCTGTTTTACTGTTTTAAGTCTTTGGGTCCTGCCTCTTCAGAGGCTTTTACCTAGATTAATCGTCAGAAGCTCACACCCTCCTTCCTTTTATACATGGCAAGCCTAGAATTATCTCATGTACACCATAACACAAGTTTACGAACTCAAAAAACCCACCCATGGATTGTACTGTTTTTGCCCTCTCCAGATACTCCTATATGGACTACAATCTCGCTTTTAGTTACTAATTTGTATTGAGATTGTAGTCTATCACGGGAGCAAGCTTGGAGCAGTGACTACTTTACAACACACACGGGGACCATGGGGAACAAAAGTAGCCCCCCTCCAGAAGGAAGGATAGTGTCGGCACCAATTCAGAGATGATCTGAGGATCTACAGCCAAGTGATACACAAGATACATTTCTGTTAATCATTAAGGTACTTGAATGCATCTTTTTAAGCTTTAACTCCTGAGTTTAGTGCCACTTTAGGGCTAATCAGGGTTTGCATTTATCCTAGAAAGGAAAACGTTTAATCCATTGTAAACAAAAAATCTTTTTTTTTTTTTGCAGCCACAGTAAGGAAGAAACTAAAAAAACAGATGTTAGAAAATTTGACAAGAAAAAAGGTTTGTTTTTTTCAAAGCTGTAAACAATTGTGTAATCGGATTGCAAATTCTTTTTTGAACTACAAATAGCTTGTATTATATCCTTTCCATCTTATGTTTTTTTGTTTGTCAAAGTATAGAAACCTCCATTGATGCTAGACTTCAAAGGATACATGCAGAAATAAAGTCCTCTTTAAAGCTTGACCACCAGGTTTGTATTGTAATCTTAAAATATGTTTTTAGGTTATGATTTTTAATATGTTCACTTTGTTTAGTAGGGATTTCACTTTACAGAGCAACTCCAGACAGCAAGATGACTTCCAAATCCATCAGAGAAATACTGGCAAAATACTATAGTCCGGAATTTCCATTGGCTTACCACATTCTGGGGGCAGTTTATCAAAAGTGGAACAGCTAAAATCCTGAGCAGTTGTCCATGAGAACCAGATTCCCTCTTCAGTTTGTTCAGTTAAGATTTGAAAATGAACCAGAGAAGCTGATTGGTTGCCATGCACAACTGCTCCAGATTTTAGCTGCTCCACGTTTGATAAATTCCCCTGTGTTTTATGTTTGAGCAGGGTTTTTAGGATTGTAAGTGAAGTGAACAGAAGTCTTTCGTTTATGGATGAACTATAATCTTTGTAATTGTTTTTTTTTATTTAAAAAAAAAAATATGCGAAAGAATGGCAGTTTTCTAAGGACCCATTCATACCACAACTCGCATAAAAATGCATGCACGTTGATGTATGTTAAAGTGTGTTATGTGTTTTTAACATGTGCTTCATTTTGCTGCACATTGAACTGCATTTTTTTCCAAATTTTTCGAACCAAACTGTTTTTATTAGACATTTTGGTGTTTTTTTTAAGATTAGCTGCTTGAGCTAGTCTCTGCAGCAGTCCGGATCCACGTAGGCAGAGCACCAGGATCTACTTTGTTTATTGGAAACATTGGGAGCCATTATCCATATTTTTCTGTTGGTTTTCCACAGAAAGGGTTATATTGCTGAGGGACTGAGTGCTAAGTCACTAGGTAGAGTGTCATGTGCACGTTCGATCTTGTTCCTGCCATGCAGTGTGAGGTAGCACCTTCTTGCCCCTGTTAACTACCGTAAGAGAGACCGGTTCACCTCAGATAATCCTTGCTGCCTCCTACAGTGACCTGGTAAACTTTTGGCCATTTGAACCTCTACTGCTTCCATTAGTTACTTTGTATATGAACTACACTAATAGGGTCTTGGCATTCAGAAAATATATAATGTTGGGGGGTTTTACGTCATTTTCAGGCCTAAAATGTGGAATATAACATGGGTGCAAAAATTGAAAAAAGGGCCTCAGTCATGAAGGGGTTAAGGTGCACATCTTGCAGGTGCAAGATCCACTAGCTGTTTTGAGGTGGTCTGCAGTTTTTCTTATTAAGAACTTGTAATGTATTTTGGCTGACTGCTATGCGCCTCTTGTCCATTCACATGTGGTAAAAAGAGTTTGCCTGTGGAACCTGCATTCAAGAAACCCTTTCCTCACATGGCCTTCGAGGGACAACATATCTTAGCTGCAGGCGAAGAAAAGTCCTTTACATTACTCCTCCTACAGCAGGGGTCTCAAAGTACCGGCACGCGGGCCGGTACTGTGTGGCCCCCAGGCAGCTGACAAGTCGGGAACACGGTCACTGACCACGTGGCTGACTTGCGGGAGCAGCTACACGGTCTGCATCTCTGTTGGATGCAGACCGCAGAGCTGCTCCTGTCAGTTCTGGCCGACGCTTTGTCAGTTTCGAGCTCCTGCTGAACGATGAATGATTCGTAAGGTCTGCACTAGACCTTACTAATCGCCACTAGATCACCAGGGAATGATGATGTGCCCTGCAAAGATGCAAGCAGGTGAGGGGGGGGGGAGTATTTTATTTCCGGGGGGGAGGGGGGGTTGTATTGTGTGTGTATATTAGGCCCCATTCACACCTATATTTCAGGTGCAATTAGGCATTCCTGTGTCACAAACTTGTGTTTTCTTGCACAGTAATCCCTAATCTGCCGTTTACATCCAGCAACTGTCACCCATTCAAGTTAATGATCAGGTGACAGCCGCTGCATGTGCACGCCTGCATACTGCATGTAATCGTATGTGATATGATTTACATGCAGTTACAAAAACAATCACTCTCCCTGGATACAGAATTGTGTATCCAGGGAGTGTGATTGATTCCTAACTGCATTTATTCCTTTCACATATGATTACATACGGTGTGCAGGCATTTACATGCAGCGGCTGCCACCTGATCATTAACTCGAATGGGTGACCGTTGCCGCTTGTAACATATGCAGACATTTAACACTGGTACCATATATAGTCGCGGCCCCCATGAGGCAAAAACAAATTCTCCAGTGGCCCCCGAGTAAATTGAGTTTGAGACCCCTGTCCTACAGCCTCATAGTCCAAACCCAAGATTGGATCCAAGTCCACCAAGCCCTTAAATAAATAATCCTCAACATGAGTGTGCCCCCACTTCACAGTGGAGAGATGCCTGTTAGCCTTTGTGGACACTTGGACAGCCTGCACCTCAGATGGTTGGGTGCTGGAGGGGTTTCCAAGGGCTACAAACTAGAGATTCAAAAACAAAACCAGGTCCGCGCACCTCCTAACCCAATCTCCTATCTAAGCTGCTGTGCCACAGTGAATCTCACCACTTCCAGAAATTTTAATAAAGATGTTGCACTGTGTGTACAATAACTTTTTTTTTTTTTTTTTCTTTGTGACCTGTTTTAACATACGAGTTTAGTGATTCTAGCCTCTCTGTAAAAGATGATGATGCTCAAAGTTTGATGCTAGGCAGACTCCAGTGAATTGGCTACTCAAGGGTAATGCTTGAAATTCCAACAGGATCCACCAGCTGTAGATCAGATACCGTCTTCCCATCGGTGGACAATGGTGCCTCAGGAGGACTCTTACTGAGAATAGTAATCAAACACTATTACCATTTTCTTTATCATTGTCGGGGCAGAGCTTAACCAGCATTCTGCTTATGTCAGAAGGTCTTTAGGACGACCAGTTAGAGTTAGTGTGTGTGTGATTTCTATTTGACAGGTGCTAAATGTGGTGTTGGTAACACCAGGCGTCTGAGCACAGAAATATCTGCCATGAGTTGTATCTAATATCCACTATTACAGCTGTTTACTAAAGACAATTTTTTTCAGGATGTGAACAGATGTATTATTGCTTTGGATGAGTTGGCTTCCCTGCAGATTACCATGCAACATGCCCAGAAACACACAGATATGATCACTACTCTGAAAAGGGTATGGCTGTCCCTTATTCATATTTGCAGTTTGTGTATAATGTTTCATTCATTGTATGTTGACAGCTTGTCAGAAGGGTAAATACAATTCATTGTATAGGCCAGGCTTGGGTTTTGACTCTAAACTGCACTCTGTATGTTGTACCACATATATGTGGAAACCTGTACAAATTGTTTTCCAGGTTACATCATGTACATTAATACATTAGATAATTATTTAAATTCAATCCAGCACATAACCAGAATGGCCTTTTTTTTTTTTTTTGTGCTGGATTTTATTATATACATAATGATATTTTCAGAATATCTGGCCTGATGCAACTGGCTGTTGTATTCTATGCAGTAAATAGGTTGTCTAAACAAAGATTTAACTGTGGTAATTTGTGACTATACTATATATAATGTGTAATTTTGCAAAGCCAAACATATTTAATACTTTTCTTACCAATACAATGTAAGAATCGGTAGCCATTGAAGGCCTTGTTAGGGGGTGGGATTTAAGCTACTTCTTAAAGAGGTAACTTGTAGACTTCAATCTAGGTATTCTGGACCTTGGTCATTCTAAACCTATTAAGAATTTTAAATGTTCCCAATTTTTTCCCAAGTATGCATTGTGCGGTATTTCAGGTTTCAAATTGCCTCATTATTACTATATTATGCCAGATGAGAAGTCATACTTCAGTAAAATCAACCACGTTTTCCCATCATAACCTATTGGATAGATACCTTAAAAGTTTTTTTTACCAGTTTAAAATACTACATACTGTATGTAGTAGGCATTGTTCAGCCATATCTGAAAAATATATGGTCTGCCTTATTAGAAGATATGTAGCTAAGCCAACCTGAGAATATTATTGAGGAACACATTCCTCTTTGTGTATAAAACCGTCAATTCAAGATGGACGAAGAGGGAATACCACCAGACGGAGATGCCAGCAGCAGGGATGGAGTGATGAGGGATATTGCAGACAAGTGTGCCTTTAATATACACCTATGTTGTGCATATATTATTTCAATCATTGTTAAGCAGAGTACTAAGAGTGGTGGTAGCTTATCTATTCTGCACATCTTTACATTGAACTTTAAAAATATGGAAGAGCAAGCATTTCAAAAATGTGAAAGCCTCATTGAAAATTACTTTAAACATTGCAGTAACAACTTAAAATATGTTCCCACTGAAAATACTTTAGATTTCCCTTTTAAGAAGTCAAGAATGAATGAAAATATACATGTCTTTAAACCTGAAATAAAACATTTTATATGTTTTTGGTAATTTTTTTTTTTTTTAGATTCGTCGGTTTAAAGCCAGTCAGGTGGTGATGGAGAAGGCCTCGATGCTTTACAACAAGTTCAAGAATATGTTCCTTGTTGGAGAAGGAGACTCTGTAATAACTCAGGTTCTTAATAAATCTTTAGCAGAACAGAGACAGCAGGAGGAAGCCAATAAATCCAAGGATGCAGGAAAAAAGGGACCTCACAAGAAAATAGAGAAAGAACAGAACTCTGGTGAGTTCAGCTGCAATGGTCTTCATATGCAGCAGACTGAAGCAGGCAACATTTACTTAACTGCCCCTCAAATACTGTATCTTTGCAGAAAAATGTTATCCTGATTAACTTTAAGCCTTATGCTGCCAAAGTTTGTATTTCGTACACTGACTGTACTATGATTGCACCAGAAGTTTAATGCTGTGTCAATCTGTTTGCGTTACCTATTGCATTACTTATCTTAAAAACCCCAGGTCAAAGACCTATGGTTTTCAAGCTAGTTTGACAATCATAAGGTGTCTTAGGGGGGGGTTTGCCATCTGCCTAGATCCCAAGTTGTTCCTGGGTATAATGGTACAGAACAGCGCTCTGAATTAACAGTGTTCATGTGCAATAAACTGCACTGTGGCACTGGGAAAGCCCTTTGGTGATTATACTATATCTGCCAAATGTCACCGTTCTGACACCTTGTTTTTTTTTTTTTGTAGGCGATAGCCTAATTGGCCCACATGGTACTAAAACTAGTTGTCAGAGTGTAGAACATGTATTCCTTTTAATTAATCTGTGACTAGGGCAAAAAAGCTTAAATAACCTTGGCCTGTTAACTGAACATTATTTATATTCACTGGTGTAATCTACATTGTGTTCTCTTTAACATAGTACCTGGCATATTAAATGAAAACTAGAAGCCTGCTAATGTCTGATATCTTCATAATTTAATTTTGTTTTTTCAAGAGATTTTCATCAGAAATCACCCATTTGATTTTTGCCTCTGATTTGTGGTGAAAATTGAAGCAAGAGATATAGTTCCACGAGTGCATGCTTCTCACAGTACAGGCTTGATTTATTCAACCGACAAATAGTCCTTACCTATTTGAAAGAAGGCCATTGCAGAGAGCAGTAAATTATGCATCTCCGTGCAGAAATGTGGCACTAATGTTTATTAATATTGATTTTAATATATTTTCAGATACAAAAGCGGTTAATGGCGGCCGGGAAGCACAGGACCAAACACAAGAAAATGGTGACAGTGGTGAAGAAAATGATGATAAGGAAGACAACACCACAAAACGGTAAGTACCAGCTAGAGCTATGGATTTATACCTGTACACATGTTGTTGTACATGTGAATGTGCATGCTTGTCAAGGGACCCATTCAAAAGCATTAACATGGATAGGTCTGAATGAACACTTCCTGTCCAATGCAAATTTAGTAGATTCATTGTACTTTTGTTTTTAAAGCAGATAATTTTCATTAGAAACTGATACAGCTGTGGTGTTACTCGGCAAAAAAAGGAAGATTGCAGTGTTGTAGGATTGTACCTTTATTTACATTTTGCAATTGGATACCCTTCTGTCACAATACCAAATCTGCTAACCCATTTAAAAGCAAATTTAATATATTACTTTTTATTTAGCTTGACCATTATTTTTCAGGTACTCCATTGGCAGGATCTGCTTGCTGTAGTTTCACTTCCCTGCTTTGGATTACAACTCTTATTTGCACCTTCCATTGCATTTCCTTAAAAAATTGCTAAATCCAGAAGGGTTAAGCCTGCTGGTGACAGCAAAACTCTTGTCCATCTCACTGCCAGGGTCTGGCAAGAAAACTGGTGACCGGTTACTTTCCAGCATCTACAACAAATGGTTTTCTTTAGAGTAGGTGAGGTCCAGAGATGTGACATAACGAAGTGCACCCTTTGAGAATGAGGACTAAAAGAACAAGTAAGCGGGGACTTGTATTGGCAGTAAGCAGTGCATTTAGTTCTAAGGCAGGTTTATCAGCATTCTAGATCTATAACGGAAATCAAAATAAAAGATGAAACTTTTTTAATTACAAAATTGATAACCAGATGTGTAATAAAACAAGAGCCTTGCTGTTTTAGCATTCTGGCTTTTGAGTCCCACCAAAGACACTGACTATTCAATTTGTAGCTGCTCCCTTGGTTTATGTAGGTTTTCCGTACCAATAAAACACTTAATAGGAAGTAAAATTTTGATCATACAGTGTATGTATGACAGTGTTGGATTTTTAGAAAGACTGATGTAAATGGTTCAGTGTTCGCTCTGTAAAAGAGAAAGTACCTTAGCAAAGTCTGTGATATAATTTGGATAGAGAAAGTGCCGCTATGCCTGGGCACCTGAAGAAGGTTTTAAGGCAGCCTACGTCACTTCCTCTCACCGCACGGCTCCACTGGAGCAAACCAAAATTCTCATTGTATGGTTTTGTGAGGTATGATGTGTACTGTGAAGACTGTGTGCTCATTTACATAGCCTGGCAGGTGTGACTAGGCATTACAGATCAGGAGAATTCTGGCCTGTCAAATACACTATGTCATGGTGGGTGTGACAGACCCACCCATATCCTGTCGACCACGATCGGCTACGTTTAGTTTGGGGGAAAGACTGCGAGTCTGAGATCCCAGGTCCTCCCACTGCAGCTAGCAGTGATGTAATTTCATCACCGCCAGTAAAGTGAGGACTACAGTGGGGATGTCTGAAGAAGCTGGCACAGCTGCCACCGGTCTTATAAGGAAATAAAAAAAACTCTGACCCCTTTTAATGCAGATTTCAGAATCGCAGTGTTCACAGCATTAAGATGCAAAAGAAAATAGTTGTTGAAAAGTGTGCAATATAATTTCTAAAGCTGCTAAAAAAAATGAGGTCTGCCCAGAGTTCAGCTTTAAATAAAATATAAGGCCTAATTTAGGTGAAAAGATGAATTGAGATGGAAGTGAAAGGGACAAATAAGATATCGTGAACAGATAATTAATGGAAGCGTTAATTGAGAACGAAGCAGAGAAAGTTTGAAAGACTAGACCAGGGTCTGGTCTATCCACACCACATCTTGATTACAGCACTGAGATGACCAGTTGGCATAAGTTAGAACAAATGAGCCAGCGTTGTTCCCTGGTGGTTTTTCTGATTTGTGCCTCAGCCAGGAAATGCAGGCTTTGCATTTGAAGGAATAATGATCTTTAGGGAGCCTCTGGTCTTTAAGACTGGAAGCTGCATGTTATATAAAGGGAAATAAGAAATAACTTATGTCTTCATTAACAAGTGCCTAATTTCTTAAACTTTACCTGGTCCCATTTGGCCTACTTACTCTTTTCAATCCCTTTTAATCTTTTCGCTGCCACAGACGTATCTCATATGTCTGTGGCAGCAGGACCCTTTAAACAGGCTATAGCCACCGGGACTCGGCAGATCACTTCCAGGGGGCGGTTTACTGACAAATTCCCAGTTCCCCCGTATCTGAATGTTACATCCATTCAGATACGCATCAAAGGACTCCTGAGTTTGGCCTATGTTGGAAATTGTCTTTTTAGAGCTCTGCTCGATCAAATTATTAAAAAGGCTATGGGCGGTAGAATCGAGCACTTACCTCAAATGTGGAAAAATATGGCTCTTTTCCATCTTTTTAAATATTCCTTTTGTTCTTCCAAACAGGGTTTCAGTTCCCAATCTTAAAGTCTTGACACATCCAAGTCTTTTGCATCATCCTCTAGATGTCCTTGGCAATTAAAAAAACCTCCAAGCCTTTAGAAAAGTTATCTTCTGTATGAAAGTTACCCGCCTTTTCCATCTCGGGTGGGTAGATGCCTGATGGTGTTGGATAAGCTATTGGAGCACAGAACTGGGGGGCATTTGTCACTAAACCGGCCCCTGGAAGTGATCTGCCGAGTCCCGGCGGCTATAACCTTTTTAAAGGGTCCCGCTACCACAGACATATGAGATACGTCTGTGGCAGCGAAAAGATTAAAGATAAGCGTAAGTAGGCCAAATGGGACCAGGTAAAGTTTAAGAAAGAAATTAGGCACTTGTTAATGAAGACATAAGTAATTTCTCATTTCCCTTCATATAAAATGCAGCTTCCAGTTTTGCTGTTTCTTTTCCGGTTGTTGTTGTGCCCGCCCCTCAGTATTGGACTGCTTTTTGTGCTTCTCTACGTCTCCGAATTCTTCAAGAGCTGTGTATATCAATGGTCGATGGAGAAAATAGGATTTTGTTCTTACTGTAAAATCCTTTTCTCAGAGTCCATTGAGGGACATGGCTACCTCCCCTCATTTACTGTTCATACTGCTTGCAACAATTGGGACGTGAGAGGGGTTATGTCCTAAAAGTGGCGGGCTTTAACATTTTTTTTTTCTCCTGCAAGCAGCAGCATAACCCTATGTCTCAAGTTAAGAGCTGTGTCCCTCAATGGACTCTGAGAAAAATGATTTTACAGTAAATCTCCAGAACACTGTATAGTGTGGCACAGCTATATCCAATTCTGTATAACTGGCTTTATATTTTTATTAAATTTTTTAATAATATAAAGCCAGGTATGCAGAATTGGATATAGCTGTGCCACACTATACAGTGTTCTGGTCTGGAGTTTGGACATGTGCTCATCTATTTTCCCCACTATGGGGATACAAGTCTTAGTTAGCAATATCTACATAGTTATTTCTTGTGTTTTTTTAAAAATATTATATGTAGTTAAACAGCATTTTTGTGCCCAGCCCTCATGCGGTGCTGCAGTACTAACCTGCTGTGTCTTCTCCGTCTGCTTCAGCCACTCTGTTTCACAGCCTAGTCATCTGTTCCATTCTGACCTCTTCTCCCGCTGATTGGATGATGACAGACTTCCTCACCAGCTGCTCCTGACTGGTGAGGAAGCCTGTCAATCATCCAATCGGCCAATCAGTGGGAGAAGAGGTCAGAATGGAGCAGATGACTGAGGACTTCTAGGAAGAGTTTGCGGCCATCTTGTTTCATTGAAGACGCTATGGAGGTCCTGTGTGTGGCGGTTTCGGGTCCTTGAAGATGGAGGACGCGGCACAGGTACTCGTTTTTTGTATCAGAGTATTTGCACGAGTACTCATGCAAATACTCGGTATCGCCGCCGATACTGATGCTTGTATCGTAGCATCCCTAGTAAAAACAAAAACCTATTTTTACCATGCATATGAATGCATAATTTTACAAATATGACTTTAAATTTTAGTAAATAACCATGAATAAATATATATTCACCTATGAATGTGTTCTGTTTGCAGGTCAACGGCTGGATTGAAAACTGCAGAGCCCAACAAGCGAACAAGTGATGATTCTGTCTCTGACAACTAATAGAGGAAGAACACTTGCCTTTCTGAAAGAGCCGTTTAGCAGTCTTGCAACAAAACCGTTTGACTGCTTAGAGTTTTAAATACTTTTATATATTGGCAGTATTTTGGTGTGTGAAAGTTGTGTTATGAAGGCAAGACCTATTACCTGGAGATGAGAGTTATTCAGTGTTAGCTAGATTTCTGTCCTAGTTTCTCATCTGTTGAGTTTAATCTGTTAACAAGAACTTGTGGTTAAACTACCTTCCTGTAATTTTGTGCAGACAGTTAAAGTGTATTATTTATACAGTTCCATACACTAACTCTGAGTTTAGCTTGTTAATGAAGACATAAGTAATTTCTCAGCACAGTTTAGCTAATGTTGATTGAAAACAGTCTGTTTGTGCCCTCAACATATCATATTCTCAGTGTTTGCCTCCGGTGACAGCAGTTACCGAGAATGGACGTGGGGTAAAATCTGCTTAGTGGGAACACACACAACAATATAAAGGGGGGGGGGGGGTGAT